ACAGTGAAACCCTGTCTCTATTTAAAAAAATACAAAAAACCAGCCGGGCGAGGTGACAGGCGCCTGTAGTCCCAGCTACTCAGGAGGCTGAGGCAGGAGAATGGCGTGAACCCAGGAGGCGGAGCTTGCAGTGAGCTGAGATCCGGCCACTGCACTCCAGCCTGGGCAAGAGGGCCTGACTCCGCCTCAAAAAAAAAAAAAAAAAAAAAAAGTATTACTTTTATAATAAAAACAGTGTTTCAAGGTTATCAGCCCAGTAGCTTCTTGCTCTCTTTTCACCTTGACAGAGTTGCCATCGATATCATGGGAACTGGATGACATGGAAGCATTGTGAGGCTCTCTGACTTTGCTCTTTAAGCCATCTGCTGTGTTACAGGCATAATCAGGCCTTTGGAAATCATGTTGGCACCTCCCAGAGGTCCATTCATAACATTGCCACGAGCCCCCTCACAAAATGATGAAATATGGTCTAAATGAAGCGTCTCTTTGGAGGAATCTAGTCTTGATTCTCCCACTTAACATCACTAGTGCCCTACTTAAAGATTTTCCAAGATATAATGTGTAAAGAGTGTTGTAAGACTCTTACCCAAATTAGTGAAAACTCCCACATAAATTTCTTTGCTGGTGTATGTACCCAAAGCCTTAGAGAAAGGGCAGCTGAGATAGGACAGCACAGAGTGGGTCATAAGTCCAGAGACAAGTCCTCAGTCGTCAGACCTGAAGCTCAATTTTTCTATCAAGGAACACATTTGGTGCAAGGGAGACAGATTTACTCAAAAAAACAAACAAACAAATAAACTCACAAGGACCTATTAGGATAGCTATATATATATGAAACTAACAAGTATTAGCAAAGATGCAGATAAATGCAGAGAAATTGTAACCCTTTTCTCTACAACAAGTGGAGAAATTGCTGGTAGGAATACACAATGGTGCAGCCAATGGTGAAGAAAACAGTATGGCAGTTCTTAAGAAAATTAAGCATAAAATTGCTATAAGATTCTGCAATCCCATGTCTGGGTATGTATCCAAAAGAATTGAATGTAGGCAATCCAACAGATATTTGCACACTCATGTTCATAGTAGCATTATTCACAATAGTCCAAAGGTGGAAGCACCCAAGTGTCCAATGATGCATGAATGGATAAACTTAAAATGTGGTGCACACATGTATACGGAATATTACTCAGCCATGAAAAGGAATGAAGACTGGGTGCAATGGCATACGCCTGTAGTCCTAGCTACTCAGGAGGCTGCTTGAGGTCAGGAGGTTGAGGCCAGCCTGGGCAACATAACAAGACCTATTTTTGAAAAAAAAGAAGAAAAAAAATAAAATTGTGATACATGCTGTGACATGGATGAACATGGAGAACATTTTGTTAAGTGAAATAAACCAGACACAAAAGGACTAATGTATGATTTCACTTATATTAATATGAGATAGCTGGAATACTCGAATTCATAAAAATAGAAAGTAGAGATTATCAGAGAGGGAATAAGGGGAAGTTATTGTTTAATGGGTACAGCGTTTCTGTTGGGGATGATGAAAAAGTTGGGGTATAAATAATGGTGATAGATGTACAACCTTGTGGATGTATTTAAAGCTGCTGAATTGTATGTTGACAAATGGCTAAAATGATAAATACTGTGTGATTTTATCACAATCAAAAACTAAAGAATCTAAAAAAAAAAAACCCCTCACAAGGGACTTGAGGACAAAACAGAATGCCAATTTGTTAATTTACACCGATTTCCCCCCTCCTCCTCCAAGTCCCCAGAGCACCATCACTTCCAAGACTGTGACCTGCTTACACATCCACTCTTCTGCTCCCACAGTCCACGTGTGCACCCTGGCGGCCACGGCTTATTGATACTTCCATGTATCAGCCTAGGGATCTCCTGCTGCCTTCTGAATGAAGGGTGCAAATGCACGAAGCCTGCTTGCGAATCAACATGACACCTGGCTTCCGATACCGCTTCCCTGTCCGTCTGCTTCCACACTTCTCACTCACGGACTTCCCTGCTCCCCCCTGCACCTTGTCTCCTTTTCCATCTGTGCTGACCCTTTGGCTTCGTGACTCAGCTTTTGGATTGGCCACTTGGCTGGGCCCTTGGTCCCTGCAAGACTGAGTTTCCTGTATCTACTCCCTGTCAACTCTGAGTCAGCCAAACAGCTGAGGTCATTCTCTACTTGTCACCACTGATGGGGACGGAGAGCCAACACCACCAGTCAGTCACCCAGGCTGGAAATTTAAGCATCATCATTTCTTCTTTTCCTTCCCAGCCCTCCCATCCCCGCTTGCAGGCCAGTCAGTTCCACCCCCAGAATGTTCCCCCTCAGGTGTACATATTTCCTTCTGAAGCCCCATCCTCCTACTGCTTGAGATCGGGGCCCATCATTCCCCCAAAAAACCACTGTCCAGCCTCCTGCCTCACCTCTAGCCTCTAGTCTGTGCCCTCCAGTTCTTTATGCCCTGCCAGAGTGACTGTAAGTCTGGTCCCAGTGCTGCCCTGTGGAGAAACCTCCACAAGTCCTCACTGCCAGGGGACCAAGTTGAAGCTCTTTGCAAGAACTGTACCCTCTCGCTCCGGCCAGCCCACCACTCCAGCTCAGCCCTCCTCCCGCAGGCCACACTCATTCAACACGCTGAACTTTTGCCTTTCCCAAGGGCTTCCACCATCCTCCAAATCTGCCCACATTGCTCCTTCTGCCAAGAGTGACCATGTGGCCTGGTTTGCCCAGAACAATCTCTGTTTACGCCTACTGTCTGGTGTAATTATTAATTAACCACCCTCCCCCTCCACCCGCCCAAGTGTCCTGGTTTGAACAAGTTACATGGTCAGATTACACTTGCCCTAATTCTTCACCTGGCAAATCTCTGCTCATCCTCCAAGATCCACTTCAATGTCAGAAGCTCTGGGAAGCTTGGTCCAAGTCCTGACCTCTCCTTCAGGACTCCCTCAGCCTCATGTATGACTTGATGATGGTGTTTACCAGCGTGCATTGTTAGGCAATTGTTTACATGTCTAGTCATCCCTACTAGACTTTTTCAGTCTTACATATGCTCAATTAATGTTTGCTGAGGAGGAATGAAAAATGAATCTATTAAATAGTTACTAAGTAAGGGCCAGGTGCAGTGGCTCACGCCTATAATCCCAGAATTTTGGGAGGCTGAGGCAGGCAGGTCACTTGAGCTCAGGAATTCAAGACCAGCCTGGCCAACATGGCAAAACTTCATCTCTACTAGAAATACAAAAATTAGCCAGGCATGGTGGCAGGTGCCTGTAATCCCAGCTACTTGGGAGGCTGAGACAAGAGAATCGCTTGAACCTGGGAGATGGAGGTTCCAGTGAACCGAGATCGTGCCACTGCACTCCAGCCTGGGCGACAGAATGAGACTCTGTCTCAAAAAAAAAAAAAAAGAAAAAGAAAAAAAGGACTATGTGCCAGGCATTATTCTAGGTTCTTGGCAAAACAGATAAACATCCTCTCCCTCTTGGAGTTTCCATTTAAGTAGAGGAAAGAGACAGAAGTTAATTTCTGAACCATTCACTGTTGAGGGTACAGGTTAGGATTTCCTTTCATTAAGCAGCCTTGCTCCTGGAGCTGGGGCTAGGACTCGGCTCCCAATAAGCCATATGGCTATGTGAGGAAAACGGGCCCTATCCTGGTCAAACAAGCATTCTGAGAGTAGGAAAGAAGCATGGGGCCAGGCAAGGTGGCTCGTGCCTGTAATCCCACTGCTTTGGGAGGCAAAGCTGGAGGATCGCTGGAGTCCAGGAGTTCGAGACTGGCCTGGGCAATGTAGCAAGACACCATCTCTAGAAGGAATTTTTAAAATGAGCCAGGTGTGGTGGCGTGCCTGGAGTCCCAGCTACTTCAGAGGCTGAAGCAGGAGGATCACATGTTTACAGCTGTACATGCTCAACACCAGTGAACCTTGTCATGAAAACCCCTCCACCACTGCTGCTACCTAACTTTTGCTTTAAGCAACACAGATTTTTAGCTAGCATGATATCAAATCGGGAGAGAAGTATACCCAGAGAGATTGCTATCCTTTAAATATTAACAATTAAAACAAAAATCAGGCCAGGCGTGGTGGCTCATACCTGTAATCCCAGCAATTTGGGAGGCCAAGACGGGACGATCACCTGAGGTCAGGAGTTTGAGACTACACTGGTCAACATGGCAAAACCCCATTTCTACTTTAAAAAAAAAAAAAAAAAAAAGCCAGGGCTGGGCACAGTGGTTCAGGCCTGGCCTGTAATCCCAGCACTTTGGGAGGCCAAGGAGCGTGGATCACAAGGTCAGGAGTTCGAGACCAGCCTGGTCAATATAGTGAAACCCCATCTCTACTAAAAATACAAAAATTAGCTGGGCGTGGTGGTGCATGCCTGTATTCCCAGTTCCTTGGGAGGCCGAGGCAGAGAATCACTTGAACCTGGGAGGCGGAGGTTGCAGTGAGCTGAGATTGCGCCACTGCACTCCAGCCTGGGCAACAGAATGAGACTACATCTCAAAATAATAAAATAAATAAATAAATAAATAAATAAATAAAAACAGAAATCTAGAGAAAGGAGAATGGCAATACGGTCTGTTCTTTGGACGTGGTTTTGACAGAAACAAGACATCCAGGAACACTAATCTCATTGCTAGATTGCTTTAGGATTAAACCCTGCCCTAGAAAGCCCTAAATACCTTTCCTCCTGGGTGTATTATTAAGTCATCTGAGAAAGTCTCAATCCTATAACCAAAAGCACATTAAAAAAAATTTCTTCTCACCGTTTTTACCTTGAGAGATGATAGAGTAGCAAGTTTATGGATGAGAATATCAAGTGGGCATTTTAATGGAAACTGGGCCAGAAAAAGATGGAATAATTCTTTTGCGCTCTTTCCTTTTAATGCTTGAGTCAAAGTAACCCATCCGGTTTTCTTCAATACTGGGTTCTGCGTTAGTGCTCCAGGAGGTAGAACCCTCTCCCTGGAAATGATTCATTACCTGTGTTAACTTGAAAGGTGTCACTCTTCATCTGCCTTCTCTTGTTCCATGGCACCACTGTAATTTCAATAATCTGCCTGCTTCCAGTACTGCAGCAGACTTCTTCCTTCTGCTTCTTTCCTTTTTTCTCTTTTCTTTTCCTTTTTTTAACCTTTTATTATGGAAAGTATCAAACAAAAAAAGTGGAATTGTAAAATGAACCTAATCTATGCATCATCCAGCTTTTCTACATCAAATTTATATACAGTAAAATGCATGCAAATAAAAAAATAAATAGGCTGGGTGCAATGACTCACACCTGTAATCCCAGCACTTTGGGAGGCCGAAGCAGGTGGATCACTTGAGGTCAGGAGTTTGAGACCAGCCTGGCCAATATGGTGAAACCCTGTCTTTACTAAAAATACAAAAATTAGCCAGTGTGGTGGTGTGCACCTGTAGTCCCTGCTACTTGGGAGGCTGAGACAGGAGAATCACTTGAACCCAGGAGGCGGAGGTTGCAGTGAGCCGAGATTGCACCACTGCACTCCAGCCCGGGTGAGAGAGCAAGATTATGTCTCAAAATAATAAAATAATAAAATAAAATAAATAAAAAAGGTTGGGCATGGTGGCTCATGCTTGTAATCCCAGCACTTTGGGAGGCCGAGGTGGGCAGATCACTTGAGGCCAGGAGTTCGAGACCAGCCTGGCCAACATAGCAACACCCCATCTCTACTAAAAGTACAACAATTAGCCAGGCGTGGTGGCAGAAGCCTGTAGTCCTAGCTACTCAGGAAGCTGAGGCAGAAGAATTGCTTGAATCCAGGAGGCGGAGGCTGCAGTAAGCCGAGATTGCGCCACTTTATTCCAGCCTAAGTTATAAAGCGAGACTGTCTCAAAAAAAAAAAAAAAAAGTAAAACGCATGGATTTTTTGATAAATCTATATACCTGTTTAACTGCCACCCAACACACAGAACATTTCCATCACCCCAGAAAGTTCCTTTGTCATCCCCCAGGTTTATCAGTTTTCAATACCTGGTCATGCTTGTTTCATCTAGACCAATACCCCACAACCCCTAGAATGATTTAGAAGCAAATTTACACATCAGATCATTTTCTCTGTAAATATTTTCTTAAGTTTCTCTAAAAGAAAATCAAAATATTTTTATCACACTGAAGTGAACAATATTTTTTCCACATTATTAAATATCTAGTCCCTGTGCACATTTCCCTAATTCTCTTTTAATAGATTTGTAATTGGTTTATTCACCTTTGAGCTATCCTACTGATTTTGAAATCATTCCAGATTAACATTTCCATCCACCATCATGATTATCTTTTTTCTTTCTTTCTTTTGTTTTTTTTAGATGGTTTTGTTTTGTTTTGTTTTGTTTCTTGAGACAAAGTCTCACTCTGTCACCCAGGCTGGAGTGCAGTGGCGTGATTTCAGCTCACTACAATCTCTGCCTCCCGGGTTCAAGCAATTCTCTCATGCCTCAGCCTCCTCAGTAGGTGGGATTATAGGTGGGTGCCACCATGCCTGGCTAATTTTTTTTTTTTGTATTTTTAGTACAGATGGGGTTTCAGCATGTTGGCCAGGATGGTCTCAAACTCCTGACCTCAGGTGATCCACCTGCCTCAGCCTCCCAAAGTGCTGGGATTACAAGAGTGAGCCACTGCACCCGGCCACCACCATCATGATTATCTATTAACTGAGTACTTTTTAATCTAGCACAACTATGACTCAATATAGCTGTCCAGTTTAAATTTCCAGTATTGCTATTCATATGGCTTATCCTTCCACAAGAGTTAACTAGCTTTTGTATGAATAAACCTTGTTTCTCTGCCCCTGAGAATTTGATTATGCTGTCTCTTATCTCTACCCTGCCCTCAAACTTTCATTAAATAAATATTTGTGCAACACCTACTGGGTGTCAGAGCCAACACTAGTTTCTTGGCAATCAGTAGTGAACACGATACACATAGTTCTTGACCCAGGAAGGTTATGACACCCTCCCCTCTCTACCTGGTGGAATCCAATTACTTTAAGGTAAAGTTCAAATGTCACCTCCTTTGCCAAGTCAGCCTGATCTCTTCAGGCAGAAATCAGGCTTCTATAGTATTCATTCTCTCATTCTTTTAAGATTCCTGCCTCACTTCATTTGCACTATTCCTAGAAAACATACCACCTGGCCAGGCATGGTGGCTCGTACCTATAATCCCAGCACTTTCGGAGGCCAAGGTGTGTGGATTGCTTGAGCCCAGGAGTTCGAAACCAGTCCTGGCAGCATAGCGAGACCCCTCTCTACAAAGAAACAGGAAGAAAGAAAGAAAGAAAGAAAGAAAGAGAGAGAGAGAGAGAGAGAGAGAAGGAAGGAAGGAAGGAAGGAAGGGAGGGAGGGAGGGAGGGAGGGAGGAAGGAAGGGCGGGCAGGAAGAAAGAAAGAGAAAGAAAACATACCACAGAAGGAATTGAACATAAGATCTGTAAAGAGACTTCAACTTTGTAGTACCCTCAACAGCTAATGGAAACAGTGAATGAATGAATATATAAGAGCAGTTATTAAAGAAAAAAAATTACCCATCAGCTGCCAAACTTGAGACAACAGTTTGAAAAAACATGTTTTTGAAAATTCTCAAGTTGGTATAGGTGATTGCAATGCCCTGAGGAGATCTGGGGAGAAAAGCCCATTTATAAAGCAATTGGGAATTGGGCTAGAGATTAAAAGGACATACCTTGAAGTAGTTTCCTTCTTTTAGTTATCTTGTTCCATGAGGGTATATTTCTGAACTTGGCACAGGGAATTAAAAAACCAATTTTCTGTAGTCAGAACTTCTTAAAAATATTTCTGTGCTATTATAAAAATTTGAAAATATAAAAAGAACAAAGAATCAGCCATAATTCACCACTCAGACAAAATCACTGTGACTATTTTGGCATATTTCCTTCCTGTCTTTTTTCTCTGCACATAGAAAACTGGAGGGCTGGATTTCTCAGTGGCGCTGAGCACGGGTGGACCTGCACAAGAACGTTTTGTTTTCCATATTAAGGTCATGTGGCCTTCGTCTGCTCTCTGGCCTACCTTTCCCCACTAATGGCCTCTCTCTCTTTCTTTTTTTCCTATTTTGTTCTAGCCCTTCCCTCACTAAACCCAGAGTTCTGGTCTTGTGACCGTAACGTGAGTCTTCACTCAGATCTCTGGTTCCAATGTCATGCCCCTGACCGGGATACTGACCCTGTCACTTTAAATCCCTTCACCCCACTTACCTGGCTCTGAAACCAAGTTCATGGACCAGACCAGACCTGATCTTTAATCTTTATTATATTTTTTTCTTTTTTTCCCCATAGCATTAAAAAGCCTTTGCAAATAGAATTATTATTTTTATTACTGAGACGGAGTCTCGCTCCGTCACCCAGGCTGGAGTGCAGTGGCATGATCTCGGCTCACTGCAAGCTTCGCCTCCTGGGTTGACGCCATTCTCCTGCCTCAGCCTTCGGAATAGCAGGGACTACAGGCGCCCGCCACCATACCCAGCTAATTTTTTTGTATTCTTAGTAGAGACAGGGTTTCACTGTGTTAGCCAGGATAGTCTCTACCTCCTGACCTCGTGATCCGCCCGCCTCAGCCTCCCAAAGTGCTGGGATTACAGGCATGAGCCTCCGCGCCTGCCCTTTTTTTTTTTTTTTTTTTTTTTTAAACAGAGTCTCCCTCTGTCACCCAGGCTGGAGTGTAGTGGTATGATCTTGGTTCACTGCAACCTCCGCCTCCCAGGTTCAAGCAATTCTCCTGCCTGAGCCTCCCGATTAGTTGGGATTAAAGGCATGCGCCACCAAGCCCAGCTAATTTTTGTATTTTTAGTAGAGATGGAGTTTCACCACTGTTGGCCAGGCTGGTCTCGAACTCCTGACCTCAGGTGATCTACCCGCCTCAGCCTCCGAAAGTGCTGGGATGACAGACATGAGCCACTGCGCCCAGCCTGTAAATAGAAATTGAATGGCTGCATATTATTCTTTTTTGTTTGACCATAATTATCTTAAACATTCTAATATTGACCTTATGTTACTTTTAATTTGTCATTATCATAAATAGCATTGTGATAAATATCTTTGCAATTAAATCTTTAACTGTATATCGGATTTTAAGTCAGATATGTACAAATAAAAGCACTGACATAAAATACGGCATTAAAATATTTCATACGTATTGTTAAAATGACTTCTAGAGAGAGCACACACTTACTCTCCCGCTGGAGAGTGGAGAGTGTCCGTTTTGTTGCATTGTTGCCAATATTGTGTATTACTGTAGAAACAGGGAACAAAAGGGAATTGAGGAATAGAAAGGAGCTTTCTCAATGTGATCAACAGCATCTATGAAAAATGTACAACTAGCAACATACTTCATGGTGACAGACCAATGCTCTTCCCCAAGATCAAGAACAAAGGACGGTGTCCACTAATATCACTTCTATCAGACGGTGTATTATTTTTAAATATTTGTTCATATAAGCTATTTAAAACCACGATGCATTTCAAATTGTATTTCTTTGCTTGGTTGCAAGAGGAGCCTTTCTTATGTATATTAGCAATTGCCCTTCCTTTTTCGTGAATTATGTATCTGTCATCTTTGCCCAGGCTTGCTTTTTTTTTTTTTTTTTTGAAATGGAGTCTCGCTCTGTCACCAGGCTGGAGTGCAGTGGTGCTATCTTGTCTCACTGCAAACTCTGCCTCCTGGGTTCAAGCGATTCTCCTGCTTCAGCCTCCTGAGTAGCTGGGACTACAGGCACCTGCCACCACATCCAGTTAAATTTTTGTATTTTTCATAGAGACGGGGTTTCACCATGTTGGCCAGGATGGTCTTCATCTCTTGACCTCATGATCTGCCTGCCACAGCCTTCCAAAGTGCTGCGATTACAGGCGTGAGCCACCGCACCCCGCCCAGGCTTCTGTTTTTGTCCTAGGGCTTTTTACATTATTTCTGTTGAGCTCCCTAAATTTTCATCTTAAATATTTCCATGAATTTGTAGTATGTTTTTTCTCTTTTGTATGCCATATTGTTGCCATAGAGTTTTGTGTTTGTGTGATCAAAATCAGTTTGTTTCTTTTTAAGCTGCTTTTATGCTTAATCATGTCTTCTTATAGTACTTCACGGTACTGAGGAAACTATACCTCTTCCATATTCAAGAACTAGTTGAGTAGTTCATAGCCTATTATTTGGATAACCAATTTTCCTATGAAAAGCAGTTCTTACATCCTGCAACTGGTGTTGTCTGTATTATTATAATGCATCAAGAAGAAAAAAAAGTGTCAAGAGAATCTAATTTGGAATACTGGTTCAAAATCGTAATATGTAGCATTCATTCTAGGTTCCGAGCCATGTTTTTATGTGCAAGACTCAGAAGAAAGGTGAGGTTGATATTCAAGAATTATACAGAGGCAACCTACAGAATGGCCTTTGTCTGATTTATGACAGAATTTTACAGGAAAGGGTAGCCTAATTTGCATCAGATGTTCACCATGCTTTCATAATTATTTGATATGGAAATGGAAACCTGTCTTCTCCCGTTCAAGAATAGCTAAAGAGTAGGGAGGACAAATAAGAACTGGAATATATATATATATATATATTTCAGGCTAGAATGCAGTGGTGCAGCCTTGGCTCACTGCAGCCTCAACCTCTGGGGCTGGAACAGTCCTCCTGTCTCAGCCTCCCGAGTAGCTGGGACCACCAGTATGTGCCACCATGCTCAGCTAATTTTTGTTTATTTTTGTAGAGAGGGAGTCTGATATGGTTTGGCTGTGTCCCCACCCAACTCTCATCTTGAATTCCCTCGTGTTGTGGGAGGGACCCTGTGGGAGGTAACTGAATCATGGGGGCAGGTCTTTCCTATGCTGTTCTTGTGACAGTGAGTAAGTCCCATGAGATCTGATGGTTTTATAAAGGGGAGTTTCCCTGCACAAGCTCTTTGCCTGCCATATAAGATGTGACTTCCTCCTCCTTGCCTTCGGCCATGACTGTGAGGCTTCCCCAGTCACATGGAACTGTGGGTTCTCCATTAAACCTCTTTCCTTGGTAAATTTCCAGTCTCCGGTATGTCTTTATCAACAGCATGAAAACAGACTAATACAGGGTCTCACTATGCTGCCCAAATTGGTCTCAAACTCCTGGGCTCAAGAGATGTGCCCACCTCGGCCTCCCAAAGTGCTGGGATTATAGGTGTGAGCCACCTCACCTGGCCTGTGATACTGTTTTTAAAAATTTTAGTCTGTTAGTTTATAAAAGTAACAGTTTAAAAAATCTTTTAATTATTTGACTTTACTTGTAGCTTAGCTCATCTCTAATTATTTTCAGGTACTAGCCTGGAGCTGATAAATGACCTTATTTTTATACCTCATATTCTTTTGTCTTATAATGAATTTGAATGTGAGTCAATAAGACAAGATGTACCTCAGTGTCACCACTTTCCAGAAATAGTATCATTTATATATGATGAGTAAGATTTTTATGATACCAAAAAATTCTCAACATAAAACAACAGGAAAATCCATATGAAACAATTTAGGAAGAATATTTAGACTAAAGTACAAAAAAGAGTCCTGGATTACTGAATTTCAAAAGGAAGTCATCTGGCCTGGCATGGTGACTCACGCCTATAATACCAGCACTTTGGGAGGCCAAGGCGGGTGGATGACTTGAGGTAGGAGTTTGAGACCTACCTGATCAACATGGTGAAACCCCAACTCTACTAAAAATACAAAAATTAGCCAGTCGTGGTGGCACATGCCTGTAATCCCAGGTACTTGGGAGGCTGAGGCAGGAGAGTTGTTTGAACCTGGGAGGCGGAGGTTGAACCTGGGAGCTGGAGGTGGGAGGGAACCCAGGAGGCGGTGAGCCGAGATCACACCACTGCACTCCAGCCTGGGCAAGAGAGTGAGACTGTCAAAAAAAAAAAAAAGAAGAAGAAGTCCCCTATCAACCACCATTTCAAAATAAATCAATGAAGAGAAAAGGGAACTGCAGAGCCAGCAGCACTGAAAGGTGCCCGGGACAAGGCAAGGCTGCAGCATGGTACAAGCCCTTCGCCACTTCACTGACATCAACATCACTCTCCCGACACTCAGGGCCGGGCAGCCTTTCCAGAATTTGCTTTCTGTACAAGGCAGTACCTGCTCATAGCACGGACTCAAGAGAGGGTGCAATTACTAACACCTTTTCAGTAGGTTCTTGGGGAATACAGTCAGTTTTCAAAGAGTTCCATGGTGTGGCACTCAAGACAGGGTCTCTGGAGCCAGGCCATCCAGCTGCAAATCCTGGGTCTGCTATTTACCAACTCTGTGACCTCAAACATTTCACTTAACCTCTGAGTGTTGGTGTACACTCATTTAAAATGGAAATAATAGTAGTATCAGAGGTTTATGTCAAGATTGAACGAGACAAGACATAAAAAGTACCTGGTATAGAATAAGCATCTGGTATACCTGAGCTAGTCACACACAGAGGAAAGTAAAGCACCACCAGTTAGACATTTTCCATCTGTAACAGCTTATGCAAGTAAAACAAAACAAAAAATAGAAACACTCTCTAAGGGTCATTGAATCGGTTGGAATTAGGTTTCGTTATATGAAATAAACAAATAATCATCCCACCCCATGCCCACACACTCAGACACACACACACACACACACACACAAACCCCAGCAGTTCAGAAATACAGAAATCAGTTTCTCTCACACATAAAATAAGCTGGAAAGTAGGCAGCCCAGGGTTGCACAATCACCTGGATTCAGGCTCCCTTCATTGCATAGCTCCTCCCTCCTGCTCTGTTTGCTTCCTGGTCCTGGAAGGCTGCTTGGCT